AAAGACTTCAAATTCATCAAATTTTGGCACTATCCAAATCCGATCCTGTTTATCTTCCACTCGGACTGCTGTATTTCGAATTAGTATCGGTGGTGTTTCCGGTACAGCTTTCGCCGACAGTGGTGCTAGTCACTCAATCGCAAGTGAATCCCTGTATCATATTCTGCAGAAACAAGATGCAGTATTTGAAAAGACAACACTACAAGTGTCTTTCGTTGATGGTTTGGTATCTGAAAAAGAGGTACTTCGCACCGAACAAATCATTCTTCTCAAAGGCAGAGAGTTCAAAACTCCGCTCCTTTTGTTGCCTGATGCCAAGAATAACTCGACTTTGTTAGGAACTGACTTTCTTCAAAAAGCTAATATTGTTTTAAATCTTGCTGAAAATAAGTGGAACTTTTCTAATGAACCTCGAAGAAAATATAGTTTCGTGAAACCTCATCAATCCCAAGTACTGGAAGAAACCTCAGTTGTTGTAAACAACTGCCGACTACGAGAAAATGAAGGACAGCAATTAACTACAGCCCAACGGCTTGCAACTGATGCATTGCTTAACAAATATCACACTGTCTTCAAAGTAGGGGGAGAAGCCACTAATCAAAAGCCATCTGGTTTACTTCAAACTCCAGTCTATGCTCAACGTTTTGAGACCTTGTCAATTGATCTTTTCGGTCCCCTTCCTGAAACACCGTCTCGTGAAAAATGGATTTTTATTGTGCAGGACTGTGCCACGAAGTGGACAGAACTATTTGCTTTAAAGGAAGCCACGGCCAGAGAATGTGCCACTATTCTTTTGGAGGAAGTCGCCCTTCGATTTGGGTTACCCAGGAAAATAATAAGTGATAATGGTACCCAGTTTACTAGTGCTGTTATGCAACAACTATGCTATATCTTGAACATTGATCAAAGTCTTACTCCTGTCTATCACCCACAATCTAACCCAGTTGAAAGGAAGAATAGAGATCTGAAACCACGTTTAGCAATACTTGTTGGTAACGACCATCAATCATGGAAGGATAAACTGCCATTAATAAGGTTTGCTTTGAATACAGCCAAATGTGATTCAACTGGACATTCTGCTTCTTTTCTTCAATTTGCACGAGAGTTACGAACCTTAGATGATGTAAAGCATGATATAAATCCGTAATTGAGAACTATAATTTTGTTCCCGAAATTACACCATATTTGAAACGTTTTGCAAGAAATGTACAACAGGTACGAGAAAGAGTCGAATTGCATCAAGATAAACAGAAACGTTATGCTGACAGAAAACGAAGAGAAACACCGAAATTCGTTCCTGGAGATAAAGTTTGGGTCACCCTCCACACAATCAGCAAAGGTCCACTGAAGAAAACTACTAAATTCATGCCGAAGAGAGATGGTCCTTATGTGATAGTGACTACAAGATCTCCAACCACTTATGATATTGCCGATCCTCATGAACCAGACAAAATTCTCGGCAAGTATCATGTTTCAGCCTTGAATCCATATCAAGATTGAAATAAGTTTCAAAACACAGCTCGTGTAACTCCAGTGGTTCCCTTAAAGAAAAGAGGACGCCCGAAACGTGTAATACCACCCGAATCTGCACCTGTTGCACAAGGTGCTGGTGACGCTAAATTTCCTGCTTGTCAAACTGGAGCCTATTCATCTGATTCTCCGCCCGCTGCACAAAGTAGACAAAGGTCAGTTCCTGACTTCTTGCCGAGACGTCTACGAAGTCAGAGGGGGAGGATGTAACAGACCTATTTAAGTGTAATTGAACTATTTTATTCACGCCATGAACTCATGAACTGTAACCGAACTATTTTATTTAAATGCCATCTCGTGGCGATATGAAAAAACGTCAGTCGACCTCCAGCCGCCATGATGATAGCTTACTATGTTATGTTATTCTCAATGTTTGATGTTCCATTTGGTATATGTTTCATTTTTATGTATATTTATTTTGCTTGTAACCGTTCCTGTGTGCTCTGTTAATAAATCCTTTTAAAGCTAGCCGGCATTAGTGTCTATTGAGGAACGGCTACATCAGAACGTTCAATTTCGTCAATCGGCCGAATAGAACGGGAGATATAGAACCGTCCATTTTTTTCCCACTGCAAGGTGTACAAGCTAATATCCAGTTAAAAACTACGAGAACTGAAGTTTATTTGTTTATTGAATAATTACTTTCGTGTTTTATTTCTTCCTGGAGAGAAGTACAGTTGAATCAAATCTGCTGGATTGTAGGAACAACACATGCAAATTATATTGTCTCTACATTCCGTACATATTTCTGACCAAACATATTTCTGACTCGTCCGTAAATACACTCTGGCTATTAAACCTGCAACACCATGAAGGAATGATCTGACGAACGTCAAAATCACATGAAAGGAAGAAGTGGTTGGGATATGGATATGATTAGTATTTCAGTATTTTTAGTATGATAATCGAATTATTGAAGGTCAGAACACTGCGTGCAACATGTAGTCTGGCATTATATTCTTGGAAGATGGCGTTTGGCAGGTATCGAACATAGGACACAACCACTGGACGTAAGATGTCAGAAATGAAGAATAAAGATAGCAAAGTCAGCTTACCTTTTGTGCACTCAGTAGCAGCAGTTGAGTCTCCAAAACTATTGATGATTATCATATGAGGGAATTATCCATAAGTAACACGATGCAGCTTTAAACACTAATAACATATTTATTGTACTGCAACTAAAATAATATAAGCGGTAAATACATTAATGTTGACACAAGCACAAACAGAAGCTTTAAAAATATCTATAGAACAAGAGGATCATGGGATATATTAATATTACGTGATTAACATAGTTGACGTGTTTGACGCCCGTGTGTCTTGGTATTTTTTAGGGTTGCCAGAAGTGAGTTAGAAAACATTTTATTTATTTATTCTCAAATGCTTGATTAATTTACAACAAGAAATGTACCAATCTGCGTTCAAATTACCGTCGATCCGAACTAGAGTTGCACGTGTCATGTACCGAATGGGCTACCGAAACCACCACACCAGGTGCAGGGCCCCTTTGCCGAAATCGAATGCAAACAGGCTAAGCGCGGTCTCCCCGGAGCCTCGAGACACGTATACGGCCATCAGAATACTGCACGCAGAACCGGAACTCGTCTCAAAAGATGAACCAGAGTCGACGTCTGTCTCTATGCTGCATTGTCAAGGGAAGCCGAAGTAATGGTCACCGTGATGGTAGTCCATGCTGCTGCAAACATGCCCATTTCATGACTAATGGCCCGTGATGTGGTCGTACGGTTTTGCATGGCTGACCTCACAATACGTCTGTCCTCTTGGGAGTTAGTCATATAAGAGCGTTGAGATCCTGTATGACGTTCAGTATAACCCTCAGCAACACATTGATTCCATATGTTGGTTGGATGTTGACCAGTGCGAAGGGCGATATCACGGAACGATAATCCACACTTTCGATAGGCAACGATCCTGCCTCTATCGAATTCCGACACTTGCAGGTAAACATTTTATCTTCTTATTCGAGGCATAACACGATATTCTGAGCGAACTCCGACCTTACAGAGCGCTTTCCGAATAAGAAATCCACTAAACAACTTTTCTTTTATGCAGTGCTTCAGATGTCATTTCTGCCTCCTGCATCGTGTAAATGCGCATTTGAAATACTAATCATCATCTAATATCCCAACCTCTTCCTACTTTCATGTGATTTTGACGTTCGGTCAGATCATTCCTTTCTGGTGTTGCAATTTTAATGGCCAGCAGGGTGTTTCTGAAAGCATGTATTTAGCATCAACCGTTTTCGAAAGTTTTCTTAAAAACTCAAAAAGTGAATATTCAGATATTAAAATAGTTATCAATTGCTACGACTGCGTTATTTGCGATAAATAATTATTACAGCTTTACTTCTGGAAATATTAAATAATAATTTTAATAATTTGTACAAATGCAGGATTGTAATAATATATAATTTAAGATGAGGAATTAAATAACTATCATTAAAATAATTTAATAACCAGTTATTTGTATCAATATGATTGAAATTATGTTTAATAGCTTATATTTAATAGCAACATGTTGACATTTCCATTTTTTTCTTTCGAAACAAAGAACAATGCGATTCTTCAGTTCAAATAGAATAATTTTATCAGTATTCTTTAAAGCAAAATATAAATTTGAGGGAAACTACAGAGTTTTCTTTGGCAACATAAACTATTATCAAACCCTAACAGACTTGAAGAGAATTATCGCTTCATATGGAAAGAACTATAGAGTCTTGAAAAGGTTTTAAAACAAACCTTTTTATTAAATCAGATCTTGAACATAAAATGGATTTCTCGTGCTTGGCACAAGTACAAGCTCAAGTACATTTGTGTCAAGGCAATTTAAAATAACTGTAAATTTCGGAATTTAAACTTAGTGTTCGAAGACTACACAATTTATGTAACGCGAAGTTGGCTCAAACTTCTCACCGGCGTAACAATTCAAATGTCGGCAGTAATAATAGCCGAACAATTACAATCTTATCATAGCTAGCGAACCCAAATAACGAGGCCTTAAGAGGCAAAAACACACTGTGTCCTACAATCCCAAATCCTTAGATTAAATATTCTCAAACTAAATTTTCATTCTGGTGAGGAAACGAAAAAGTGAATTAATAATACGGGTTGAAATTATAAATTAACTAATAGTAGCCCTATGAAATAAATAATTTTATTTATTTAATAATTTTAGTTTTTTCTTTTAATTCCCAAACCTCGTATTTATGTGTCTGATATAGGTTTCAAGGAAATTACACTTTAAATAATCATAAATCACGAGCAACTTTCGGACACTTGAAAGTGTTACACTTTAAATCTAAATAAAATTTTCTTTAATATATGCAACTCAAACTGCTTACAACTGTTCCAGTTATTAAGCTAGGTTATCTATTGCGTCAGTTCTTCCTTTTAAATCTTTGTTTAATTTTCTTAATCATGTGTCATAATAATTTTTTATTTCCGTCGTAGCTGTGGATGACAATCTTAAAGCAATGATCGTGGATGCGATGGGAGAATGGGAAAAACACACTTGCCTAAAATTCACCGAAAAAGCTATTGATTTCAACTACTTACGATTCAGGGCGGACCAGGAAGGGTAAGTAAAAATCCAATAATAACAACACAGTTTGTATACTTTAAATTATAAATTTTTATTGTATGAGTTTAATAATATAGGACTTGCAGAATAATATTGACAATTTTACTGGTTTTTGAAACAAGAAAAAGCTCGCTGAAAGAGAAAATGTTTCCTCTCACTCCACATGTATATATCGAGTGGTCAAAATATTAGAGATATCTCGTAATAATGCATTGGTCCAACTTTAGTTGTGATCCCAACCGATATTCTTCTGGGCATGGATTCAACAGCATGCTGATAGATTTCTGGAGGGATATTAACCCATGGCGGCTTTAATTTTCGTTATGAATGGAAAATGGTGTTCTCGTTTTTGAACAGATCTTTCCACTTTGTTCTGCAAATACTGGACTGGTATCAGATGGCTGAACTATTCGTTGAAGCAATTTGAACTCCAAAGCAATCTGAGATCAGTCGTGCACTTTGACAAGACGCATTGTCCTGCTGAAAGTGACCATTTGTATCAAAGAATATCGCAGCGATAAACAAGTGTACATAGCGAAACAAAAATGGGACAGTTCTATAGCTCGAGTTCTACTGAGCCGTATGACAAAATTCAAATTGCGTTTTTCATGTCTCGAAAGCGCGACTTAATATATATATATATATATATATATCACTTTCAACATAGGCTTTGACACAAATCGGACTTTACTTCCTTGTACGAAGTAAAAAGGAAGTATTGTAATCGCGAAAAGTTTCAGGCAGCATATTTCAACGAAAATATCCATTTTGACCGCTATCGAATGCAATTTAACGATGTTTTTGCGTGATATCTGTACGTAAGGACAGAATAAAATACTCTTTTTCCTCCAAAAAAATTATAAAACTGCTTTAAAATGAATTCTGAAGAGAATTTTTCGTGGCGTCTGTACGAACGTATGTACGTACGTGCGTACGTACGTATCTCGCATAACTCAAAAACGAGTAGCCTCAGAACGTTGAAATTTTGTATATAGGACTGCTATAACATGTAGATGTGCACCTCGTATTTTGGTTGCAATCGGCCGCACCAAACGTATATAAATATATTTATATATATATCCACTCTGTTACCCGGCTCAGTGATCTCAGTTTCTTTACTCTTATATGTTTGTAAATTGTACATTTTTTGCTTTAAAAATGATTGAATTATGTTGTTTTTATCTTCCGGTTAAGGTTTTTATGCCTTTAGTAAATCTGTATGCAATATTTTTAGAATTATCAACAATTTTAAAGTTGTTTAAGTGCCGCTAAGCCTGTTTTTAATGGCGGCCATTGATGTTTACATTTGAAACAGCAGACTAGTGGATTTGTTGCCAATCTAGAGAAACTTAGCTTCGCAACAACAAAGATAACGCCTTCATTTATTATTGCGAATTAAATCATGCTTAATCCTTTCTGGAATTTTTTCGAGGAAATAAGCGTTTTAAGATTTACTTCGTAATTTTTAATATAGATATTTTGAGTTTTTATGTATTTTTGCCTTCTTCTCGCGAAGTGAGAACTGAATTAATTGAATGAGAAATACTCAATCGTCTGTGAAAAACTGTTTCTTTTTTGTTTTGTTTGCTTAATTTCTTTTATACATCGTTCTAGCTTTATTATAGTATTTGAATAGAACATGTGGCAACGATTAGATAATTCTTTAAATGATATAATTTTGTGCATTCTGAGTTATAATATGAACGAAATATAATACTGTTAAGTAAACCTAGCGCCAGAGTGTCGCTATGGTAAACAAAGTGAATTTTAAAGAATGCATTTATTCTATTGTGGTTTATGCGCTGTCGGCGAAGTAGGTTTTAATTCAATCTAATAAGTTTAAATGAAATGCAATTAAAAATGCGTATCATTTAATATTCCGTACAAGGAAGTCATGTGGTGTACACATCAGATTTTTTTTTTTTAAATAACATACCAATTTTTTCCATATTTCGATTCTACGACTCAAATTATTTAAATTTTGGAAAATTTGGTGCGAAATTTACGGAGATATTCAAAAATTTATCTTGTCAAAATTGAACATTTTAATATATGGCAACCAATTTTCCTTTCCCTTCCATTATGCCGGAACGGGAAAAAAAGGCACCTCGTTCCTACTTCCAAATAATTTTAGCGTAGTGTTTAAACCACATTTCATGTTTCATCGCTTTCAACAAATATGCCAAATTTCAAAAAGCGCCAATATATAAATTCATGTATATCTTCGAAAATTTTGAATAAAAATTTGTAATTTTTTTGCAGGTATGCTTAGAAATACATCTACTTTAAGATGATGGTAAAAGTTTTATAATTATAATTCAAATTTGTTTTAAAAAATTTATAAAAATTATTTAAAAATACAAATTTTAAAAATAAATCATAAAAAATGGGTAAATTTTATTTGGAATGAACCTGAATTTCGAAATGTCAAAGGAAGAATAAGCTTAATAAAAAAAGAGAGATTAATAAATATATACCAAACTCAATTAACATGAGGAGCTAAAGTTTTGAAAGCTGATTTTGTAAAACCTACTAGTCCGATTTTTACAAAATTTGGCAGTTTAGTATAATTTAACTCGTAGAACTGAAATATGGAGAAAAATTGGTATGTTAGTTCAGAAAAAGGTCCGATTTTGTGTCAAAATACTGATATTAGAACAATACTATATATAAATTTAATACATATCCTAAGTCGCACTTTCGAGACATGAAAAACGCAAGTTGAATTTCTTGAATCCGCCCAGTAGAACCGGAGATATAGAACTGTCCCATTTTTAGTCCAAAGAGGCTTTGTCCCTGAAGGACTACTGTTTTCGTTTTGCGATTTTGCGTTGAATCACTGAATGTCCGTTTCACTTTTCAAACAGTTGCCAACAAATACTATCGCCCTGTATTATATTTGAAAAAAATTAAATAATGAAGAATCTGCATAAATGTATGTATATTTCTCGCATTGTAATAAAACAACGGTGCATAAAGCCATCGAATTTTGAATGACGTAATCCTACTGCGAATATGGGCATGTGGAAGCCCAAATTTGAAATTTGGAATTTGTTTTATTATCGATTTAATATTTTGTAAAACTTTAACGAAATTCTGAGTAACAATCTCAACGATTTGAAAGCGAGCAATGGCAACAATCTACGGAGGGGGGGGGGGAACCTTTGTATCTCCAGCGCGCGGAACTGTGTATCGCAAATTCTAAAGATAGGCTCATTTTAAAATTTTTCTCCACATTGCTATTGAACTGAATTTGATGGTTTAAAAAGAACATGATATTTAATAAATAAAGGTAACACACAAAACGTTAAAAAAACGCTCCTTTGGACGTAATTTAAAATCTGAAATCTTTCAGATTTTTTTTTCGCAGTGTACATAATCTGTAAGACTGTTGAGGTAAGCTGTAATTTGGTTCCAGGCGTATCAAGAGATCTCTGTACTTCAGGAGATTATTCTCCAGAATTCTGTCGTCACCAGTGTGAAAACTTGCTATTAGGCAAGAAACGTCCATAAATACATTCAGCTTGTCTCCCATTCAGGCCTTGTCATTAGCATGACAAAGAAAGAAACGAAATTTATTGTACCAAGTCACCGTTATCCAATGTCCAATTCCTCAGTCCATAGCAACCGTGTTTTCTATTTTATCAGTGATAGTATAGGCATCATTGACAGCATTTTGCTGTTAAAACCTTCCCGTTGTTTGTTTAATGTTGGCTGCGTTAGGCCTTCGGATATACTTTGCCCATGACATTATCCTTCTGCTTTTCGTGCCAGTCGACCTTATTGCCTAAAACTTTGTTTTTTTGCTTCTCTCTAAACACTCAAGATATTGTTTCACGAGAAATCCTAGAACATAAATCATTAACCGAATTTTTTTACCCTCACGATCATTCGTTCAAAGTCACTCAGATCTTTTGTTTTACTTACTTGCACACTATTTCTTCTCACAATGAGCGTGCCTTAATGAACATTTCCAGGATGTTACATCAATGTTGGATGTCTATAATGTAACTCTCATTCAGTATAGATATTGTATAAATTTTATATAAGAAATCATCATTGCAAAACTTACACTGAATGTTTCAAATCCTTCTGGATAAACGCTGGTTGGCCTTTTTTATGCTACATTAATATTGGGATAGTAAAAAGAAAAATTGTTTAAGAAACCAAATGAAGGATTCAGCATAAATCTGTTCCTTCGTACGAAAACATCCTATTAATAATTAACAAGTATAAAATAAATTCCTTTGAGTGACATATTTTGAAAATAAGCTTTTATTTATTGGAAAATTAACACATGTTTCGTGATTCAAGAGTAAGTAATTTCATTAAAGCTGAGTAAGTAATTTCATTAAAGCTGAGTAAATAATTTCATTAAAGCTTGATGGAATTTTAATCAATTAAAGTAACTATTTTAGTTGCTTATCTGATATAAATTTATATAGCCGAGTTATTAATTTACCGAGTTGAAAATTCAAAATCTACTGTTAATATATTAATAAAACCTAGCAGAAAAATATGTGTGTATTGCAATAGAATATTTTCAGGTTGATATCAGCTTTCATTACAAAATATTGACACTGTGTATCAGTTTACTTAGATAATTATTTTCAAAGTTATTTATTTATTAACATAATAAAATTCATCTCCTGATAAGTTTCTTACCGCTCTGATCAATTCACTTACATGAGATTGATTATGTATAGGGTGGTTATAGTTATAATGATCCTGTTTAGACCTGTGTGGAGCCCTTTCTGGTTTAACTATTCAGTTGAAACGTGGTATATATGTTATAAGGAACTTAGGAAAAAGAAATCTGCAATAAAAATTAATGGTTCAAATTTCCACCGACAGATGTCGCTTTTCATTCAATGCGGAAAGAACGCTACGCAAATTCGGAGCGTTTTCAAAGCCAGTGCTTAAATCAAGTTATTTCAGCGGAATGGCAGCGATGTTAATTTAGCGGAATGGCTGCACTACGAGCATATCGACGCTTGAAAGACTTATGAAAAGGGTCTGCGTTGGGGCAAGGATTTGAAAAAGATGATTACTAAATTTGAAGAGAGTGGGAAGTAATGTCTTCTACGAAGAAAGGGAAGGACAAGGATTTCAAATGAAACTGTGGAAGATCCTTGGTAAGAGACATGGGCTCTTGCTATGGTGGAAAGAGCATCTGGTTTCCAATATTCTTCGACAAGTGCCAGCGGTTTCACGTGATATGTCTGGGCCATGATGGACAGTATAAAAGGTTCTACGATCCATTATAAAGTGATATCCAGACAGGATCCAAGTTCTTCAGGAGCTACAGAGCTGCGTGACTGTAAAATGGAGCCGCGAACGAATTAAAATTTTTGTTTAAAGTTTGCCAAATGGACAAAAGACAGTCATGGTATATCGAAACAAGTTTATGAAGATAGCCTTATCCTTAAAGTCGTTTATGAATGGTTTATAGGTTTCCGGACTGAGTGGGATTCCATTGAAAATGCTGCTCGAAGTGGTAGGTCCACAATTTCGCATACTAACGAAAATATTTAAAATTAAAAAAAAAAGATATCAGCTAGAAAAAGGAGCAATTAATGTTAACTCGCACAAGGGTATTCTGGCAAATTATTCCATCGGATCTCTAGGATCATTGGATCTAGACCAGAGGATCTCTATCGTTTATGCCCAAAATAGGCCTGCGTAGGTTTTTGCAACTTTTGTCATGCTAATGCCCGGCCATGTTCGGTAACTGTCATGAAAAAGTTTATGGCTTGTAGAGGAGTTATAGCCCTCTATCATCTTCTGTACTCACCTGCTCCTGCTCCAGAAGACTTCGTTTTATTTCTGCACATGAAAGAGTCTAAAAAAAACAATTTTGGGATATTCTAGATAGACATTTCAAAGCCATATGAAGAGGTTCTCCATCCGATGCCAAAAGAGAATTTTTTCTGGTCTTTCCAGGAGATTGTTTCACGGCTCTTTTCATGTCGTTTTGAAAGTGCATTGTGAACGACATTTCGTCATTGTCATGAAACAGTTTATGGCTTTTGGGGCGCTTATCTTCTGTCATCCACTACATTCACCCGATTACGCTCCAGGAGAATTCGTTTTATTTCTGCACCTAAGACGTCCTAAAGAAAGAACGATTTTTGGATATTCCAGACATTTCAAAGCCTTGTGACTAGGTTCTCCATGCGATTCCAAAACAGGTATTTTATAGCTGTTCCCAGGAAATGTTTTCAGGACTGTTTTGAGTCGTTGCCAAAAGCGCACTGTAAACGAGATTATGTCATTGTTCATGGCTTTTGATGAGTTCGAGCTCTGTGACATCCACCATACTCATCTTATCATGCTCCAGAACACTTCTTCCTATCCCTACACCTAAAATAGTCCAAAGGAAGAATAATTTTGGGTATTTCGGTTTCTTCAAAACTGTGTGACGAGGTTTTCCATGCCATGCTGAATGAAAATACTTTCCGCTGTTTTCGGGAACTGTTTTCAACAACTGTCAAAACTGCATTTTAAATGACGGAGTTTCTACAGGGGACCTCAAAGGACCTAATAAATTAGTTCATATGAGTACAAAACTTATTTCCTGATTTTCGAAAAAGCTTTTACTTATGAATGCATTCATTGTTATCATTATTATCATCCTTGTATTTCTCTACTTTCAGCGTTCTCATTTATTCTTACTTCAGTAAATTATATAAATATCTCAAATTGTACTTTACTTTGTAAGGATCTTAAGTTTTACTAACGTTTATTTTATTTTAAATCTTTACTATCACTTCTTATTTTCTACTTCCGGCCAGAATTAAAAGCTTTAACTTATTTATGCAAATTTATCTTGCGAACGCCAAGTACTTAAGTTGTGGCTTTTTGCCAAGCGAGAGAGAGGAAGGAGTTAGTAGTAGCAGGCCGCTTGCCTTAGCAGTTTTTACTCGGTTGCTGGTTGCCTTCCAGGCCAGAGGTTTAATCCTCTTGATAATTTTAAACGTATTGTAGTGTTAACAGTGCTCTGTACTGCATACAGCTTCCTGTTAATATATGGCCAATCTTCCAAGTAGGCCCTTTTTATTATTCCAAAGTTAAGTTAGAGTTTAGTTAATATTTTTATATTCTTACGTTCAGACCACAAGTGGTTGGTCTCTGTATTCCGAAGTCCGGAAATTATTGTAAAGAGTGAAAAATAAAGGTTTTCGTATACCCTTCCTGTGTATCTTGTCTACTTCCCACATTTATTGAACATAGCTTTAGTAAGCTCCCTGTTCCGAGTCAGGTCTTTGCATGTTCCCAAAGCAAGTAAGACGGAACACTGAACCTGATAACTTTAATCAAAATAGTGATTTTTCTCATACGTACTTTTGACTCATATTTAATATATACTCATATACTGATATTTTCATACATACCTACGCTTTTTATACGCATATCGTTTCCCTTTAATGGTGTGATAATTAGATTGCTTGTAAACATCATAGACAGTCACAAGAAAAACAAGTTAAAATCTACCATCGTTAGAGCTTTTAAAGGCAGGAATTTTATCATTTACTTATTCTCAATATAAAGGATTAGATAAGTATTGTATTAGGGCTGCACTTAGCTAAAAATGTAATGTTTAATGTGAATAAGATCCAAATTATTTTAAATTTATAATTTGTTACGCTTGATTTATGATTGCAATTTTGTATACTTATGTATGTAATTCTGTATCTCTATTTTTGGTATGCATGTATTCTGTATTTGGTAAAATAACGACAAAATAATTCTCCTCTATATATCTTTAACAAATGTTTTTTTGATATTTCAGATGTTGGTCGATGATTGGAAAAATAAACACAATTTTTGCTGGCCAAGATGTATCAATCGGACCAGGATGTAACAGAGTTAGTATTCATATGACAGCTATCAGCTGAACATTTATAATATTTGAGATAAAAATGTGTTTATGAATTAGTTCAGAAGACATCAGAATTATCGATTTAATATATATACTCCCAAGGGGTCGATATGACATTGAGAGGACTTGATAGGAAAAGTGAATAAAATCCCGAATATAAGAACTAAGTTAAAATTTGAAAATATATGCAAACATCTTCAGAAACTAAGTGTGCTTTTAAACTGATTTTGAGGATACAGAAAACAGGTACATTCTAAATTAGTTAATAGCGTCAGGAGTCCCTCAGCAGGCTTGTCACAGTGACAGTGTCGGTCAATTCTACTAACACAAAAAAAATTATATAACGCAACTCAATGGAAATATGTAATTTAATGCATGAAAAGCACCGTATAACAATAATAACAAATAAACAATTTGAAAATCGTAGTAGGTATGTTGAAAATCGCATTAGGTATGTCTTTTTAGTCCAAAGGGATTTCAGTCCCGAAGGACTATTGTTTTCGTTTTGCGATTTTGCGTCGGACTCATAAACGTCGGTTCACTTTTCAAACTGTTGCCACAAAATGTTAGAGTCCTGCATTATATTTGAAGAAATTAAATAATGAAAAATGTGCATAAATGATTGTCTATTTCTCGCATTGTGATAAAACAATGGTACATAGAGCCATCGAATTTTGAATGACGAAATCCTACTGCGAATATGGGCATCTGAAATCCCAAATTTGGAATTTGTTTTATTATAGATTTTATATTTGTAAAACTTTAAACGACTTTTTGATTACAAACTCAATGCTTTAAAGCGAGAAATGGCAACGTTATATAGAAAAAAAATACTTTTTCTCCAGCTCGCGAGACTGTTATATCGGAAATTCTAAAGATATGCTTAATTTAACATTATTTTGCGATATTGCTCTTGAACTGAATTTATGGTTTTAGTGCAAAGAACATGATATTTAATAAATAAAGGTAACACTCAAAACGTTAAAAAAACGCCCCTTTGGACGTAATTTAAAATCTGAAAAATTTCATATTTTTTTTTAAATTTTTTTTGTAATTTTTTTTTTTTTTTTTTTTTTTTTTAGTATTATTATATTATTAAGTATTTAAGGGATCGATGTAAAGTTGAGATTTCCTTGGACGAGTAGAATAAAAGATGTTTAGATTCCCCTGAATTAGATAATAAAGAAGTTCCAGTAAGTTTGCTCAGTTAAATAGCTTTTAAATGCCTTAAGATTAGACTTGAAATTTAAATTTATTAGGTTAATTTCTTAAATATAAGGAATTTAGGCTTTCAGAGTTGCACAACAGTTCTGATCATGTAAAATCTGTCAATGAAAACCAAAGAAAATTTCAATTTTCTTTCAGGCTCTCCATAAAGAGAATTACGTTTAACATTATTAACTAGTTAGTTTTGTATCACTATGTAATGCAGTATTAATCATTTATTAACTAAATTAAAAATCGCTTTACGAAACTGAGTTCTATTATATGCAAAAATAGTCTTTTTAAATTATTTAAATTATATAATTTAAAACCTGTTCTACCAACACATGGGTGACAATCTCAAGAGTCATATAAAAAATAAATGTCCTCACATAAAAAAATTTTGGAATTTAGTATTTGCGCAAACTAAAATTCAAATCCGCCTCCCGATCGGTAAAGTGGTAGGGCTCTTGTCTGTTGTATCGTTGTACTCGGAGGAGAAGATAGGATGAAGACATGGATGTCTGTAAATGTATAATGTCTGTACGGACATGGACACATTCAAAATATACGGCTCCTTTGAATCCATTAAAAATCCACTATGTAATCCTTTTTTGGGGGAAAATCCTTCATTCCATCCGTACGTACAGATGTCACACAAAACCATTGTTCAAATGGATTCGAGATGGTCAAAATGGATAAGTCCATTGAAACATTATACCCGAAACCTTTTGCGATTATAGTACTTCATTTACTTCGTAGAAGGAAGGAATTCCTTTTTTTAAATACGGCTCGTCTAAAACCTTCATTTATTTTTACTAAAATGAATAAACGTGAGTAAAATTGTCATGATCTGAAAGTAGTTATTATTCTTATTTCTTAACCTGGAACTACAAGCTCATTTCTTCAAGAGATATTTAGTCTTGCAAATATTTTGAAACATTTTATGTATTTATTAGATTGTTATTTAAATACAATCCTCAAAAGTGGAATTGCAACACCAAAAAAGAATGCTCGTACCGTCATGCAAATTTCAGGATCGAGAGTTGTGAGGTAGATATGCAAATGATTAAAAAAACAGATACATAAAATCATTATAATCCAATTTATTAAGTATCTAATTTGCCCACCTCGGGCAGTGATACAGGCCGCAGTCCTGTAAGCATGCTATCAATGTGTTCATTGATAGCTGCCTGAGGTAGCCTTTGTCAAGCCACATCAACTCCAGTACGCAGATCATCCAGGGTTTGCGGCCGTGGTTATCGGTAAATGTCAAGTCCAATGACATCCCACAGGTGTTTGATGGGATTCAGATCTGGAGAGGCTGCCGGCCAAGGTAGGATGTCAGATCCGGTCAGGCTGTTAAGAGCACGCCGTGCGACATGCGTCATGTTGGATGCGCCCTGCAACCAGAGCAGAACAACAGACACCACAAATTACGTGGTGTAGCGATCCGCTGTCAAACTGCCGTTAATGAGGATTAATTATTACCAGGGACGTCTCGTGATAAAAAATTATGCCGCCCCGAACCATAATGCCCGGTGCAAGACCGGTATGACACTCCGGGTCGCCCGGTTGACGGCTGTCATTCCTCCACAGACAGAAACGAGATTCATCCGTGAACAAAACCCGATGCAATTCGATGGTCCACGCACTATGACGCTGACTTCCCACCAGGCGTCTAGTCTTGTATTCAGCAGTCAATGGTATTTTTTGGCAGGTACCCGTGAACGTAAGTGTACTTCATGCAATCTGTTGCGAATAGTTTGGGTGGACACAGATCCATCTGCTGCTGGAGGCAACCGGCTTCGGATGTCACGTGCCATGGAGAAAGGGTCTCCAATAGTTGACCGCCGAATACGCCGGTCTGTGTTCTCTGATGTGTACCTGTGCACACCACTTTCTCTTCGACGTGCACGCACACCTTCCTGTATCCATTGTGTGACACAACTTTGGATCGTACTCACATTGTGCCCAACACGGGTGGCTATTGTGCGCAGTAACAAACCAAGCTCATTGAGTTCGGTAATACGATCAAGTTCCCCGGTTGTTAACTGATGGTATTGAGCCGATTGAGCTCGCCGACGTCTCAGGGACATTTTCTATGCTTCTTCTAAAGTCTCCAATGCTCCGTAAACCCTCAGATGCTGTTTATGAGAAGAGAAAGTGGCTGACTTTTATACCCCGCATATGCGTACCACGTGATCCAATGCGTGCACAACTTTTATCATTTGGCATATCCACCTCACAACTCTCGCTCCTGCAATTTGCGTGACGCTACGTGCATTCTTTCTTGGTGTTGCAATTTAACTTTTGAGGAGTGTATTTGTATATTTGGTTAGGAGAGTGTTCTTAAATTACTGACAAATCCATGTTTTCTCTTTTAGTCTAATATCATAGTTCATGAGATAGGGCATGCTATTGGCTTCTACCACGAGCAGTCACGTAATGATCGTGACCGTTACATCCATATCCTATGGAACAACATGCCAGTTGCTCGGTATTCCCAGTTCGACAAAGGCATCGAAAATCCCAGAGGAGTAGAATATGATTTCACTTCTGTCATGCATTATGGACCAATGGTATTGTATTTGACTCTTTGTTTTCTCTTGCATTTGCTAGTTTTGGTATAAATGTTCTCAAAATCACGAAACAGCTTAATGAACTTTAAAAAAAAAGTGATTCTAACCAGTTATGAAACAAAACTTTCTATTACAAGTGAAATCAAGCAATTCAACTCTCAATAAAGTGTACTTTTGGAAGCATGTTTTCATGTATTGATAAACGTCTACGAACATAATGTTATACTTAAATTCAAACTATGCACGTAATTCCAAATTTAACTATCTAAAGCTATACAGCTGTCAAGACAAGTTACCGTTAACCTCCCAAAACATTTACTGCAACTAAATCAATAGTAACTAATAGCATAATCAGAACAAAACATGTCAGCGTAGAATCTTAAATTTGGCAAAAAAGCAGTCTTAGATTAGTGTGAATTTTTATTAAATTTCGACAGTGATAAAATATTGTTCTAATTTTTTAGACAGTTCTTTTTTTAAGAAGCATAGCATTTTCTGTAAATTTAAAAGCAGCAGTAATCACACTTATAATGAAATCAAAGGGAAAAGCAAGGAGAAAATTAACACAGAGTCATCTATAGAGAAAACCGGTAACGAAATGTGAAAAAGCTTCAATTTTAAGAATTTTAGAAAAGTTGGGAAGCAATAGATTAGAATTCATGTCGTTAACTACAGAAGGTAAATTTCGAGTTTTTATTTTTTTTTTTCAAAATCTACGCCATTCGAATTTCATTTATTCCAGTTTTAATTAAAATTTACATCAGGTTATGCTCTCCTGTTTTGGCTATTTTTAAAGCAAAAATTTATTTGAATCCTATCTTCTATTTCAACTTAAAAGAACATGTAATAAAAAGAATTGAAAACGTTTTTGATTGTTAACTAATACAACAGCTGGCCTCAAAAGATTTACAATACTCACTAAGAAATCAGCTAGAGTATTCTTGTAGTTCTCTAATTTACGTTCTCACTTACCTTCAAAAGGCTCTCAAATTTATAGTTAATTTATAGCGGAATAACATATTCTATAAGCGCTTTTCGAAACAAGAAATAAATTAATGTTCAGAATAAGCCAGAGTAGTAATTAAACTTAATTTACTGTAATTGAGATTTGAATAAAACTTCTAAATTTTGACGATTTATCATGATGGAAGCCAAGAAGAATTAGGCAGTTTATAAGGTATTTCTCCCGATTTCTTAGCATGCCTTCGTAGTGTAGTGGTCAGCACGCTCGACATGTATTCGAGAGGTCCGTAGTTCGAGTCCCTGCGAGGGCATTGCTCATTTTTCATTTCTCCTGCTTCGAAATACCTAATGTCTCTACGTTTAAAAATCAGAAACTCAAAACTATTAGGAAATTATCATAATTATCACCCAAAAAAGAATGCTATGCATAGGATGTGCCGTAAAGCTATTTGAAAATTTTAAATTATCGAGCATTTTAACAGTACGCCTGTCAGATGCACTGCGATAGTGTTATATAGAAGAGGTATATTATGTACCGAAGGAGATACTAACTTTCCACCTGGACTATGTAACAATAATCGTGCAGGATTTAATATATTTCTAGATGCTATTAATCTACTAAATTTAACAGTGATTATTAACTACTAAATAATTATTAACTATGAAATTTGCTTGATTTTTGCACGTAAAATAGTCTGAAATACATTTATATATAGGGATTTTTTTTAAATCTCTAGTTCCAAACTTTATTTATGCCAAAGATTATCGCTTCTTTAAGAGCTAAAAATTAAATTCAGAACTTGAACTTAGGGGTTCTGTGATTATTTTTACTAGTAGTTATTTTAATTTGCTAGTCTTGTCGGTCTTTTCTTATTCCCCTCGCTTTTCTCGCCAGATGTAAATCAGTTAGGGTGAACGAGAGTATATTTAAACTGAAGTAGAGAAAAGTTTAGTTAAAGCGTGGTTTCGCTGTTGTGAGTGAACGTTGTTATTCTACAAGCTGTTGACTCTGAATATCGGCTTCGCATTCTTGCCGCCAAAGTTATTACCATGTCGCTGCAGGTTAAATCGAATTGTGTAGTCTTGCAGTACTCTTTGCCTTTGAATTTAGTTGTTACATTATCTTTTTAAGTTCCTCACCACAAGTAGTTGGTAATTGTGTTGACATATAAGTCCGTGCCGTCTACAAACTATTGTGCTCAATAAAAGGGTCTTTTACATCCTTTCTTTGTAGTATTCATCTTCGACTCTTTACGAGAATTCGCAACATAGATCTTTAAGTAGATCTAGTAATATTGTATGTTAGCTAAGAGGACTAGATCCCACAGAACTTATTAATTAAACTTGAGTACAGAATTATTAAAATTTATGTTCAACCAGTGATTTATTCAAGGTGAATCTAGTTAAGGCGTTTAAACTGCTATGGAAAAAAAAAAAAAATTAACATATCTTACTACATATGAGAAAGAGACCTGAATTAATTCCTGACTTCTTGAATTAATTTTATCAATTATTACTGATTTGAAACTAGATCATATATAAAAAAAGATCTACAGTGTCAGTTTTGGGATTTTCTATCTAAAGATAACTTTTAGCTAAAATAACTTCTTCAAGAAATTTGCTGTTCATTTACAATCTTTTATTATTATATAAGGTATTTTCCCCCTTTCCTTTCTGCATGCCTTCGTGGTGTAGCGGTAGCACACTCGACGTGCATTCTAGAGGCCCAGATCGAGTTCCGGCGAGGGCATTGCTCATTTTTCACGTTTTCTGCTTTAAAATAACCTATTGACTCTACAATTAGTTTGTCATAATAACACAAATTAATTAATTTTTTCTGTCGTTTTCTAGTATTATATGACATTTTATACATATCAATAATTAAAATAATTTCTTCAGTTAAATGCAGGCATTTGCTTGATTTGTTGGGCAAGAGAACAATTTTTTTCATTAGATATTTTGAGTTTTATCTCTATTTCTTAATGTCGCATCTTTTTCTGAAAAAGCGTTATTTCTGACAAAGCATTATTCTACCTTGCATTGTAAACTTCACAGAGAAATATTACAGTACTGAAAAAAATACATTATTTTCCTAGTTTCTCATAGCGTAATGGCAAACTGCACATTAAGTTGATCAATGTTAACGAATTTCGCTTACTGCGCATGCTCAGTAGTGTACCGTTGGTGTGGGAGGAAATACTAGCAACTAAGCAGAAGCAACCCTACACAAGCCTGTTAGTCATGTTGGTTTACATGTTGGTTACAATTGCAATACTACAGAAATTTGTGTGTGGTTACGTGTTTCTGTTTCATTTCATTTTGGTTTATTTTGTTCATAAACATTACATTTAATATCAGTTACTTGACTTTAATTCAGTAATTTAAACTGGATTTATTCCTTAATTTGTTAAAGTATATACGAATGGACGTATGGTAAATACTCAGTTGCTTTTTTTCCTCAGAAGTATAATAAATAAGTATTCAGCTGATTTATTTTGTAATGTTTCCTGTTTTGTAATCCTTCTTACATGAAAATTTGAGTAGTTTACAATCGATATTTACATTCTAAGTAATGAAGCAATTTACAACCTAACACGTTTTCACGAACTGTTTGCGCCCACATAACACGAACTGTTTGCGCCCACATAACACAATATCAACTATGTACCGTATTTGTCTTCTTTTAAAATTGCACCAAATTCTATTCTGGGCATGCGCAGTAAGCGAAATTCGTTTAACATTGATCAACTCAATGTGCGGTTTGTCATTACGCGTTTCTCAAAGCGTTTATTTATGTTTTTCCTAAGCAAGTTGTAGAGTTCCTCACTTTGTAATTCTAAATTAATGTTGGAAGTGAAGAATTTAAGAACTGATAAGCGAATAATCGCTTAAGTTCGGTGACAAGAAACAACAAGATAGAAGGGTAAGTAACCCTTTATTATTCCAATAAGATTTAACAAAACTCCGCCTGGGAACGTACAAACAAAGCCGACACTTAGGCTTTAACTTAAGAGACTAAGAATTAAACTAAAACTAAGATTAACTAAAAGAAATATAGCCGAAGCTATCAAGATTCAAATAGAGTTGGCCCCTTAACTTATTTGAATACGAAGCAAAGCATGGGACTGAATAATTAACTATATATATATATATATATATATATATATTATAATTCGTGAGAAACTGTAGGATTAGTATAAAGAATAAGAGATTTTCTAGAACATCCGTTACAGAGAGACCTTGCAGAATTTTTGTTAAAGCATTATGAAGTTGTTCATACAATTAGTAGAATTATGTGCTACAAGAAATGTGAATATATGAACTATAATTATTTTTGAATTTATTACCTCTTAAAGAGAAATGGTAGTATATTTACAGCTTACCGCAAACAGTTCAAAGGTTAGCGAAATAAAATTTCATTAACCTGTCTTTTCCCAACAGAGTTAACATTCTGTAATTAACTCTGCGTTTCTAGCTCGCTGACCCATAAAAATTGAAAAAAATGCTCAACAAAAGTTTTTCGAGCTCAATGGTACTTTTTCTAGTAATTGACTTCTAGTATTTCTAATTTTATAATAAGCCTTTAAAGCAGAATTTAAAAATTTATTTTCAAAGTTTTTTTTTTTTTTGCATTTTTATATATTGAAATTAAATTTAAGATTAGACCATTTAATGCCTAGGTTAAATCCAAATTTTGTTTACTATTTAAACTTAATGGTGCTGAAAAAATATTTAAATGACGAGTTTTTTAAGTCCATTATTTGCCTAACTTTAAGCATACCGAATAAAAAGCACTAGTATTATGTCGCACTAAATTATTTCAAACTGAGTGACTCTTATTTTTCTTTTCCAGGCCTTTACCTCAAAATATTTCCAAAAGAATACTATAGCTGCCAAAAAACATTCATCACCAAACACTAATAGGATCGGGAATGAAAATCAGTTTCCGAGATGCTAAGATGTTGAACAAAATGTATTCATGCAGCGGTAAGAATTGCTTAAAATATTCTGCACCCACAATATATACAGTATTCCTATTAGGGGTGTTCAAATGAAAAAGTACAGATATGCTTAAGTCTTTATTCACAAATAATCACCAAAGACCTGAGCACAACTATCCCACTGTTTGACGAGAAGAAGGATTCCCTCTTCCCAGAATTCCTATAGTTGTGACAGCAGCCAGTCCTCCACTGTGTCCTTCAGCTCTTCGTCAAGTTGAAGCGCTTCCTTTCGAGATGTCACTTTGTAGAATCATTAGGAAGCGGTATAGATGAAAAATGAACAACGCCCTCGCCGGGAATCGAACCACGGACTTCTGGAATACGCACCCTGCGTGCAGACCACCACACCATAAAGGCATACAAGAAGACGGGAGAAATACCTTATAACTTCTCATTAAGTCGTTCACCTTGTCGATGAGTTCGGCCGCAATTACCATTTTTACCTGGCCTGGTCTCGGGTCATCACTCAAGCACTCCAAGCTTTCACGAAAACTGGCACTCCGCTTTCTCACTGACTTGTCGGGCACACAGTCTGCTCCGTATACGACCACCATCCGTCGAAGAATATTGGGTGGTGTAACCCCTTCCGCAGTCAGAAATCTGATAACATCCTCGCTGCTCGACGCTCAATCGTCGAATTCTGCAATGTGAACGTCAAGATATCATCACACGCACTGGCGATGTGTTCCGTCAATTGGACGGAACACATAACTACCTTCTTCACTCCGGCGTAATGTGCGGCCCCTTGCGCATGCGCACAACCACGTCGGATACTGCATTCGAGTCCTTAGATGTCTCACTACGTTATGCCAAAGCGGCATATTGAAATTTCAACCGGTTTGGTTGTTACGACGTTTCGTACCTTTTCATTTGAACACCCCTTATGTACTTATGCCTCATCTTAATTGAGGATTGAAGTCTTATAGAAATACCTCATAAGCTCTGCTGATAGTAAAACTATTTACTGTGGAAATGTTTGAACGAAAAGATCTGCCATTTTGTACATATTCATCTAAAACCGACAATTAAAAATAAAGTAACTGTGAAATGAAACTTTTCAAAAATCACTAACAAACTTCCTCTAAAGACAGGGGATAAGTACAGGTTTAAATAATAGTAATATATTATGTTAATTTATACAGAACTATCCCGTTTGCAACAATCAATGAATGGGGGGAGGGTAAAATATCTTTGTAGTAAAAATGGATAAAATGCACGAGGCATGTTTTTTACGTAAGTAGTATTTTGATATTACATAAGAATAATTTTTAATAATGTCGTTTTTACACGAAAGACTGGGCCTTAATCTCCTTTTCAGTGTGAGTTCCGCCCTTGAGTTCCACCTACATTAGGGCACTCATCGCATTGTATGACCAACTTCTGAATTCCAACTTTATAAAAATCTACCGCCTGGTTTGATAACTTCCTTTGGTTTCCAGCTTGACCACGAGCTGCGATAATTTAAGCATTTTTGTCATAATTTCATACAAAATATTTCTTGAAATTTGAGGAAGTTTTGTAGGTAATCATGAAATCGTGAATGATCATAAAAAGGGACGATATCGTCCATTGTAAATGATGGCTAGATGCAGAAAGTTAATGAAAAGTTCGAGAAAACGGATGTTTTACGATTTCGTGATAATCGCTGGTTTTCACAAGTTTCAAGAAGTGTCCTATGTGAAATTGTGACAGAATGCTTAAATTATCAGAAATTTTACTCATCTTGGGTGCCAGAAATAAGTATCAAATCAAGTGGCAGATTCCTTTAGAAATGGACTTCAGAAGCTACGACACGATAAGTTCCTGAATGCTGGTGGATTAAGGCATAAGCTTTCATATACAATAACAAATGTTAAAGAAAATTGCCCTTGTGTTTATTATCGAAACAGTACTTATATAAAAATTCATATTTAGTATCTAATTCACCCATTGATTTAAATTTATATAAAATGGATCCACCAGATATGAATGATATTACAGTTTCACTTCTTTGTTTCTATGAAATGAGATGGAAAAATCCACAAAGGATGAATACAGCGTGTTCGAAGTTCTGCGTTCATCGTAATCTACGTAAAGTTTTATGGAATAATTTCAGATGAGTCTTAAGATTTCGGTCTCGAAAATATACAGTAAGACAAAGAATATCTAATGTATTCAACAAAACAAATCTTTCTCGACCTAGAAGAATGATAAATCTACAAGGTTATATCAATCAAATAAATTGCCAAACGTGTTCTTCGAAATCTCAGAAGCCTCAAAGATATGCGAAGCATGTGTCAAAAACATAAGTCTTGAATTTATTCCGCGTACCCGCATCTTCTAGTAATCATTCAGGATTTAGTTGATGATCCTCATAAAAGGGATAATAGGTTTTGTAATTTGTCTCATCTCTTAGAAATGAGTTAGTTACTTTGGACAAATGAACTCATACGTTTATACTTGTAGATGGCATCGTCAAGAGAAATAATGAATGATTATACAATCATTAAGGATTATATAATCCGCAGGTCAACCATTAATAATGGTCATCATTAATGGTATAGGTCATTAATAATGGTCATCATTACTGGTATAGGTCATTAATAATGGTCATCATTAATGGTATAGGTCATTAATAATGGTCATCATTAATGGTAAAGATCATTAATATATAACCATTAATAATGGTCATCATTAATGGTTGTACAATCCGCAGGTAGACGAATATCAACTTCATTGATCATTAACAATGCAGTGCTTTTGAAGGACAGCAAACGTTTTATAGTATTATCTTCCGCATACATTGTTAAAAATCATCAAATTAAGTTATAAAAGTTGCAAACAAAAGATGGCGAAACATTGTTCTGTTATTTGGTGTTTTGGTTGAAGCATTATTTGGTAATATTTCAAAACATGCATTGGCAGTATTTTGAAACATGAACGGAAAATGTTAAACCATGAATTGGGAATATGTTGAACCATAAATCGGGGACATAATAAACCTTGAGTTATGAATATATTAAACCATGATCTAGAAGTGTATTACATAATGGATTGAACATAAGTTCAATCCATTAGATTAGAAGTGTATTACATAATGAAGAATATGTTGGACCATGATCATTAATTAAAATTATGTTTACGATTAATTTTACATTAATTATACAATATAATTAATTAATTGTACATTAATTATAAACATTATTAGTAAACTATGCCACATTAATCTGGTGAATTTGACTCGTACATGGTAAGAATACAGTAACATTCTTCGTGGTGGGAGAAGGCTTGCATCTGCGATATTCTTAAAAAACGTCTTGGAAACAAAGTTTTAACATATAGAGTTTCTGTGAAATGTTCTCGATTTTTCTTGCATAAATACCGTTTCACTAGATTATCTAAAATAAAAAGCTAGTGGCATTTAATGTCTACTAGCAAGATAATCAATTTAGCAACGTGGTCTTCAACAGGCAGAACACGCTCTAATTCTAATCTCTAAAATCTTCCTTTAAATACACTTTTCTTTGTACCTCATTTGAATATCGTGCAAGCTAGGAATTTATATTCTGTCAGGAAAATAGCAATGAGATACGTAGAAAGCTGTGAAATAACTGATTAGAAACTAAAACGATACCCTACAATATGCACTAGTTTGCAAACCTTAAGCAATTTTTCTGTTTTTCGGTGTATTTCAGAAAAACATCAGCTGAAAAGCATAAAATTCATGCTACAGAGATACAATGTAGTACTTAAAAGGATGAGAAAAGTATAGCAACAGAAAAAAAAAAAAAATGAATAGAGCGCATACAACACACAGTACGAAACGAATAGAAAAGGCTTTATTGATGGAGTGGCGTTTGTACAAAAAACTGCCTGGCCAAGAGTGAGAACAACACAGAGCCTTAGTAAAGAGTTGTAGTTAGACTTCCCCTAACTATAATGGCTGCATTGCACCATCTGTCGATGCTCAACTCCAGATTATCTAACAGTTCTTGAGGTAAGAGTTCCCATTCTTCATGATTCTTGTTCTCCGAAGAGTAAGATCGTACTGCCATCCGTCTCCTTAAAATATCTCACTTATGCTCAATGACATTTAAATCAGGGGAGCACGCTGATCAGTCCATTCTGTGAATATTTTCCCCTTCCAGGAGCTCCTCGACAGCGTGAGTGTTTTGTGGTGGTACATTGTTATCAATAAAAACCAAGTTGGGACTAATGGCACCCCGGAAAAGATGCATATAAAGAGAATAAATTCATGACGGTAACGATCTTCGATGAGTGAACTTCTGTCGAAAATATTGAGCTCCATCCCTCCTTTCATCATAATGCCTCCTCATACAAGTACGCCAGGACCACCCCAATAGTCTCTTTCCTTGATGTTAATGGGATGACTGTATGTTGCTATCTCTCTTTCCATATCAGCTGGCTCAGAGAAGCGTTCTCAGCCTGAAACGACGTTTGTTGTTAAAGAGATACGACTTCGTTGATGAGGTGTCCAGTCTTTGTGTGCTGCCGATGAGTTGCTGTCAATGGTATGCAGCTTTCAGGATGGTGGACAAATAGGCCACCTAATAAAGCCATCTGGCCACAATTAACCGAGACACCTGCTGTTCGTTTCATGCGCGCAACTGCTGAGCAACGTAGCCCACTGCCTGGTTTCAATCGCTTTTCTGATTCTAATATCTAACGGTGCTTCCGATGAGTTGCTGTCAATGGTATGCAGCTTTCAGGATGGTGGACAAATAGGCCACCTAATAAAGCCATCTGGCCACAGTTAACCGAGACACCTGCTGTTCGTTTCATGTGCGCAACTGCTGAGCAACGTAGCCCACTGCCTGGTTTCAATCGCTTTTCGCCTGCAGGACTATACATCGGTCATCAATTACCATTGTTTTCCTTGGCAGATCACCACCAACCCTTCTTAAAGCTGTAACTGTCGTTTGAATGGCTTGCTTTCTAAGCTCATGAAAGAACAAATTTATCAATTCCAAACACTCTTCGGCGACAAACTTCAAACTGCGCCTCCACAATCTTGCCAATCATTCTACCACGTGTAAGGCGTCCTGATGCATTTTGTGGCCATACTGTACGTCAGTCTTATGTTCACGTGCAGAAGAACGCCTTGGAACTGTTCCTTCCTTTCTTCCTTTTCCTTCCTTGCACTGTTTTTGCTGACATCTGGCGTTTTGCGTGCTCTGACGTACCCTCTGATGTCATGGTTCTGATATTTGCATGACCATCATCTTTCAATTGAGTTGGAATTTTAATATACTGATCGGGAGGGGGAATGTTTTCAACAATTGCATAGCTATATATTGAAAAAAGAGTTTGTTGCTTAAGTTATGCACACTGGTGTAAGTCTGATGCTAATCAAGAAATAATTCGCTATATTTTAGTGGTAAACTTAGGGGGGAGGGAATCTGCTTCCCAGTTTGTGCTATATTCTTTGTTTGACAATCAAAACAATGATAGTGCTTAGTGGGCAAAAAGCCCTTCATACTTTCGAAAGGAGTCAACATTTCTTAAAACTGATTCTTGCTGATTTGTGATCTCGCAACTGAATTCCAAAATCGATGATGCTCAACTGAATTAAATTGAAAAGACCTCACTATCATCCCCCAAATGAAAGAATTCGCTTTCGTAAATCAAACTTTATGACAATGTTGGCATTTTTCTACGAAAACAAAAAAATTTTTCATGATGAATGTGTTTTCGTGAGACAAATTATTTGAAGAAATGTTAGTTAAGTATTCGTAATGCCTATGGAAAGAAACTCTTAAAGTCCGATCTGAGAATTCAACACATGATAATTGGTTCTTTTTTCACGATAATACATTAACTCAGTAAACAGTTAGTTTAATGATAGATGTATAGGGAATTTTAGCCGAATCCAAATATATGTATTTATAAACTTACCCAACAATTCTGTTTCGCAGATCTGAACTCAAATGATTACTCTTCAGTTGTCGAAACTGAAGTTACTTTTGAAAAGGCGCTTTTTTGATACGTCAAAGAAATCCAAAAGGCTTTAAATGCTACAGAAAGACACACAGAGTTTGTTTTAAACTTTGTTAGATCGTGCCATTTAGTGTACAGATGCAAAACGGGTGCATTTTGAGCATTATATCATCTGATATTTTTATCAACATAAACTAACTAGGCGTTAATAGACTGTGTAATGAACTATTCTCAAGTACGACAAAGTCCAGGAAAAGGGTGTAAAGAACCCTTTATTAAATTCAATATTATTCACAGATGGCATCGACTCGTGCTTACAAATGCCAACACTTTCGGCTTAACTCAGAAGTTAACAAGTAACTTAAAATATGTAGAATAAAAATAAGTGAACCTAACTACGTTTTCACGGGTTACTTAACACTCAGCAAGCTCTGACTCGTAAATTTCGGCATAAACAAACTTAATGGCTGGAAGCGCTCAACGTCATAGAAATCTAATCGCTAGTAATTAAAAATTAACAAAGTCGTCTTAAGGCAGGCAGAGAACGTTCTCTTTCCTTCTGTCTTTCTCTCTCTCTAAATTCACCTTCTAAAGCCTTCTCCTAGATACTAACTTCTTTCTACCCCATTCGAATACACGCTTGCCAACTCATTCTGGAAAGAAAACGCATGTTAAAGCGAGAGTAATAGGGACGGTTTTCTTCTAAATAAAATTAACTGTTAAGTAACTTAAATAAATCCCCATAATATAAAAAATGATCTTTTATGTATTCAATTATAAATTTAATGTTATTATTTAATTGTCGAATGGTTTTTAGCAGTTCAAAACTTCCTGAAAGCTTAAAATATCCCTATTACATGTTTAAAAAAAGATCTGACGAAAAGTATGAATAATGAAAAACGCATATATTGTGGTATTTTTTTAATAAACTAGTATTTACTGAACCTTACGCAGCAGAAATATGTAACTTAAGTTTCTACGACAAAACTTATAGTTACATGATTGCATTCGCTTCAACAAACGCAACTTAAGCATAATATGGAAGCAATATTCAGTACATTACTTTCAAATAATGCTGTAGTTTCTGAAATGTCAAATTAATACTACTTCTTATTTTCAGCGGGCTGCCCCAACAATAACCAGAGCCAGTGCTTAAATGGAGGATTTTTATCACCATACAGAGGAGACAACCAACCATGCCATTGCGTATGTCCTCCAAAAAGTTCTGGCGAATTTTGCGAATACACTGAAGAACCATTTGAATATTACGGTAAGTCAGAAATATATTAATAAGGAAAATCACAACAATAAGAGACAACTTCAAAAGAAGAGTATTAGAATTCGAATCACTGTTTCCAATCTATACAGTTTTGGACTAATCTAAACTGAAATCTTCTTGACCAATGTTTCAACAGTCTGTTCAATAGGATTAAATAACAATACTCATAACATATCACGCGCTTTGAGTTCATTAGAAATGATCAGCTTTTAAGCTGAATGTACTACGAACAGTTTTCCAAACTTATTAAATTTATTTTTCAGTCAGTATCCATTAGGTTATGACTATTTCTGTACTTCATTCGCATTTATGAGCATGAATTCAACTTAAAAAATCTGTACTGTCAGTTTGCGCGCGGTGCTTCAGTACAAATTTTAAATTTTTGGAAAATACAGTTATTTTTTTCTTTATACAACAAATTCTTATACGTTGTTAAGTAAAATAAATCAAGAAAGATAATCATCTATGTATAAGGATGACACACTGAAAATTTCATATATGTACGACAAAAACAATTTCACTTATTAAAACCCTAAAATCAGCTAAAATCCTCACTTTTTGTGTTGCGCAAAAGTTTATATCATGTAAAGAATAGAATTATCTAATCGTTGCCACTTGTTCTATTCAAATACTATAATAAAGCTAGAATGATATATAAAAGAAATTAAGCAAACAAAACAAAAAAGAAACAGTTTTTCACAGACGATTGAGTATTTCTCATTCAATTAATTCAGTTCTCACTTCGCGAGAAGGCAAAAATACATAAAAACTCAAAATATCTACATTAAAAATTACGAAGTAAATCTCAAACACTTATTTCCTCGAAAAAATTCCAGAAAGATTTAAGCATAATTTAATTGGCAATAATAAATGAATGCGTTATCTTTGTTGTTGCGAAGCTAAGTTTCTCTAGATTTTCAACAAATCCACAAGTCTCCTGTTTCAAATGTAAACATCAATGGCCGCCATTAAAAACAGGCTTAGCGACAATTAAATAATTTTAAAATTGCTGATAATTCTAAAAATATTGCACACATTTACTAAAGGCATAAAATCCTTAATCGGAAGATAAAAACACATAATTCAATTATTTTTAAAGCAAAAAATGTACAATTTACAAACATATAAGAGTAAAGAAACTGAGATAACCGAGCCGGGTAACAGAGTGGATATATATATATATAAATATTTTTTTTTTTTTTTTTTTTTGTTAAAAACTTTTTCTTGGTCTTAGCAAGACCCACTGAGTTTGTTCTTTTCTTAATTATTTATTATTTTACATTAATTACAGGTTTTCTTACAGTTTTCTAAAATCTATTATTTTAAAATTAAATTGTTAATCTTTTAGCTTGCAAGCCCAGCCCGTATGTTTTTGTATTTTTAGGACTAATAGCTCATCGCTATTTATTTTCGTTTTGATTTTAATTTTAGACTAGATTTAGGAATTTTTGATTTTTTTAACACCTTAATGTGTCATTCTGAGCGGACGCGTCGGGAAATTGGAACAGAGAATTGAGACTATTAAAATTTCCAAGACACTTTGTCAAAAAAAATTTTTTTTAGCGAAAAAGTTTCAATTGTCTTTTTCGGGGAAACGCGTAATGGGGTTAGCTTGATTCGACGTTCAAATAAATGAAATTTCCCTTGAAAAGCCTGTTTGGAAGTCGAATTGGGCTAATTTACCATTTTCCGCTTACTTTTAACTTTTTCTGTTTTTAATTTATGTTTTACATGTCTAATGATTTGCTTTTCATGTGTTTTAATTTTTGAAAACGTTTTTTTAAATTTTTTTTTATTTTGTTTTATTTTTTTTTTTTTTTTTTTTTTTTTTTTTTTTTTTTTTTTTTTTTTTTTTAATTTTTTTGTTTTTTAAACCTTTTGGAGCAGCAGCTCTTGGTAACTTTTAGGCGAGCTTTCTACAATTTTTATATTTTACTTATTTGCAGCATATTGCGCAAGATGTTTTCTAGACCAAAATTGGTTTTTCAAAAATTGTTATTACTGCTTTGCTTGATAAATTATATAAATAAATTTATATACGTTTGGCGTGGCCGATTGCAACCAAAATACGACGTGCACATCTACATGTTATAGCAGTCCTATATACAAAATTTAAACGTTCTGAGGCTATTCGTTTATGAGTTATGCGAGATACGTACGTACATACGTTCGTACAGACGCCCGAAAAATTCTCTTCAGAATTCATTTTAAAGCAGTTTTTTTAATTTTTTTGAAGGAAAAGAGTCTTTTATTCTGTCCTTACGTACAGAATATCACGCAAAAACATCGTTAAATTGCATTCGATAGCGGTCAAATTGGATATTTTCGTTGAAATATGCTGCCTGAAACTTTTCGCTATTACAATACTTCCTTTTTACTTCGTACAAGGAAGTAAAAATTTAGGAGAGATTGATAAAGGAAAGAAGATTTCAGTATTTCATGAAAACATCCGAATAAAAATGACTTAAGAAGCCTTTGAAAAGTAGCATCCTAAAGTATAATATCCAAAAGTATAAAGTATCCATCCTTCTTTAGGTTACCAGTCTGAGATGCCACAGTTAGTTAATTGATTATGACAATGCTTATGATGGCTGTCTGCCCTAGAAGGAATGCTTTCTTGGTGGAAGCTTTAAGGAAAGATAATTCGTATTCATGTCTTACATGAGGGAAATCACGAAAATTATGCCATCAACATTTTACTTGAGCATCTAAAAAGTAAACATAAACAATATACAACATAAATTAGTTCAAGACAACATAAATTAATTCAATAGTTTAATTAGAGTGCTTTTTGTTTCTAGAAGATATGTTCCCACACAGTAGGCGGTAGCTGAAGTTAAAGGCACCCAGAATCTCCTGGACTATATAAGCTCCAATCTGGGGAAAAATGAGGGCCAAAAAAATTAATTGATTACAATTAACCTCATTTTAAAAATTAGTCTGAATTTTACTTTCTAAACACAGAAACAGATGTATAAATATACCACAAATATAGTTATCGGAATCATAACGCTGTGTGTACTACGGATCGGGACAAGCTATTAGCATCCTTTACTGTAAGATACCTATTGGAAAACAAATTCATCAGAGTTATAATAATATACATTAGGTAATTAAGTATTACTTTAATACAGGGTTTCTTATACTAGGGGTCGCGAGACCTGCAGCAGGGGGTGGCTAAAAATTTAGCAGTTTTGATATTTCTTTAACTTATTATAATAATTTTACAATTACCAAATATTTTTACACAATGTATTTGTAAATAGACAAGGATAAGACAATACAGACAAAGAAAAAAAACGAAAACGTTTCGACGCATTCTTTTTATAAAATAAACGTTCATTTTCTTTGCTTTGCATATGACGCTGTCATTTCGTCTGCTACTTATTTAAAATTTTCACATTGTTCTATGTCTTAAAATTAGAAATTAATGACCTAAAATTGCAAAAGTGTAGTATATTATTAGAATACAAGTTAAAAAAATAGACAGTTTCACTCACGCGTATGTCGGATTTGCGCAATACTTATGGGGTCCCACAAAAGTTTTGTAAATATTATGGGGTCTTGTGGGTCGCGGAAAAATCTCAGTGATAAAAAGGGGTCGCGACTGAAAAAAGTTTAAGAAACCCTGCTTTAATACGTAATTAAGTACTAATTTAAGTATTAATTTGTAAAGTTATTTATAAGCTAATTAAATTAGTTTCTTAGGAAGCTGTAAGGTACGTTTCTTATTTTCTTAAAGAAACTTTACGAAGTCGAACAGAAAATCTGATTTTGTAGCACAAATTGCATGCTGTGCTTAATTATTCATACCTAAATTTTAATAAACAGGGTGTTTATAAAGTCCCTGACCCATTTCAATGTTTAATAACTCATAAAATAATGAACATATAAAACAAACTTTTGGCATTTATTGATGGAATAACTTATATATATTTTCCTTTTCAGGTTTGAATATCTTTACTTTTGTAAATATCGTCTGCGCGTGTGGTTAATTTCAGATGATTTCATTTTCCAGTCTAAATATCTGTACTTTTCTAAATATCGTCTGCTTATTAATTGCATTTCTCTCTCTTTTTAGTCCAAAGGGATTTGAATCCCGAAGGACTATTAGTTTCGTTTTGGCATTTTGCGTCGGACTCATAAATGTCGGTTCACTTTTCAAACTGTTGCCACAAAATGTTAGAGTCCTGCATTATATTTGAAGGAATTAAATAATGAAAAATCTGCATAAATGTATGTAAATTTCTCGTATTGTGATAAAACAACGGTACATAGAGTCATCGAATTTTGAATACGTAATCCTCCAACGATATGAGCATGTGGAAGACCAAATTTGAAATTTGTTTTAATCGATTTCCTATCCTTTTTTAAAACTTTGACGAATTTTTGATTAACAAACTCAAGGATTTCAAAGCGAGCAATGGCAACGTTGTGCAGAAAAAACCATTTTATCTCCAGCGCGTGAGTCTCTGTATCGGAAATTCTAAAGATCTGCTCGTTTTAAACTATTTTGCGATACTGCTGTTGCACTGGATCTTATGGTTTAAGTGCGAGGAACATGATATTTAATAAAGAAAGGTAACACACAAAATGTTAAAAATCGCCCCTTTGGACGTAATTTAAAATCTGAAACATTTCAGTTTTTTTTTTGGGGGGGGGGATATGGGGTTTTGGATATGGGCGCATATGGGGATCTGAAAATCCCTATGAATACCGTGAGGCACAAAGGGATTCCCCAAAGGTTAATGTATGGTGTGGATTAATGCACGACCGAGTCATTGGGCCTTTCCTTTTTACAGAAAGGACGGTCTCATCAGTCGTATACTTACACATGTTGGAAAACTTCGTATTTCCATAACTAGAAGAGATTCAGCCACATGTCTTTTTGCAACGAGATGGTGCACCACCTTCATTGGGGTACCATCGTTCGTAGTTCTTTAAATGACCATTTTACAGGAAGATAGATTTGGCGAGGATGTCCAATTCCT